TACAGCTTCTCGTACATTTGGCGAAGTCAGCCTTAATAAAAGAAGGTAAAGAAAGCTTAGGGGATTAAATATCCCTCTGCAAACGGAGTTTAAAAAGTCGCAGAATCGAAATTATTTTAAAATAAAATAAACAAATGAAATGCTGTTTTATTAAAATACTCCATTAAAATGTTTTCCTTTGCTGATTTACTGATCCTTGAATTGCAACATATGCTTGACGTCCAATTTTAAATACATTTTTTTTATCTCGATCTAAATAAATAATCAATTGTCTAACAGGAAAATGAATTTATGTATCATAAACAAATTTCATAGGTTAAAACCGAAATACAATGAAAACAAGACTATATATATAAAACTAAATTTAAAAATCAAGGGGGTTGACATTTTCTCTTCCTCTACAATCCATTTACAATTCCATTTACAATCCGTCTGATCGAATGTCAAGATTGTTTTAGACTTACTGTGTTTCCGCTCTGCTGAGTCGCATTGCTCCGGAATTCTTCGAGAAACACAAGCTTTCTGGAAATCCAAAGAGATTGAATAAAGGAAAAGGGGCCGAGAGAGCACTACATAAAATACTTTTGGCGCTACGAATGTTTCGAATCCCGGAATTCTCCGAAAGTGAAAGTTGAAATTCGGAGGCAGTCAACAAAGAAACAATGCCTCTCGAAACTATTGTTCAAAACGGAAAAAAATTTCAATTTCTTTGAGGAAAAGATCAAATAAAACTCAGACAACTTATTAAAAAAGCAATTTTTATTTTCAAAAAGGCGATACTTTTTGTGTTCAATAGATTCAAGAATTAAAAAGAAGCATATAGAGTGCAGGTTAAATTTATACCAAAGCTTTTTGGCAATATTTAAAAATGTTCTTCAAACTTTGTATTTTAAATATGATCAGAAAACTTAATATTGTCAATGCTAATAAAAAATGTGACAGAATAAAATCATTATCGAAACCAACGGCGTTAAATTTGACATACACATTACACTTTATTTCAATCAAGAAACAAAAATTCATTTTTTAATACATAAGCAAATACCGGTTGATTCAAAAATAGTGTGGCCATTTTCAGAGCATCATAAATTTTTATTGAATAAAGTTATTTACTTGAAATTTTAAGTGTGACTTATTTTAGCTAAGTACACTTTAAGTAAACGTTTATCCAAGCCAAAGAGCATTCTTGAACTTTTTTTTGGGATTTTTTTCTATCTTCCCCTTTGATTGCTTTTTGAAGTCCTTGGAGAGTTCTTACTTTACGTCTATTTAATTGTTTTTTAAGTATTCCCATACAAAATATTCGCAAGGAGTACAGTCGGGGAGTTGATAACTGTTTCTCATAAGGAAGAAAATTCATTTATTTTTATTTTTTAAACACCTTATAGTTGATTTTGCAGTATGACATGGTGCAGAATCTTGGTGAAAAAGTAACTTTCCTTGAAGGTAAAGACGATTTCTTTCTTTGATCATGTGCTTGAAACCTTTTTGGTGATTGTATGTAGCAACAATTTTAGTCTTTGGTTCTACCCAAAAAATGGTTTGGTTAAGGCTTGAGTGGACATTTTCATCCATACCATAAAAACTGACGGCTTACTTGAATTTTCCAAAAGAGCTGCGTCTTTGCGACGCCTTTCGCGTGAAATACGTTGTATCTTTGTTTCCCTAGTTGTAAATGATAGATGAAGCAGCGATTAATCCGAAGTTATTCTTGTTTTGTATATAACTTTGTGTAACATTAAATACAGGGGCCAAGAACGTTTTCTTCGGTCCTTGCAGACATTTGATGACAGACTGGTTTATTCCCCTTTTTATAACCAATTTTCTTTATCTGACGACATATTGTCAATTGCGATACCTGTAGTTTCTTTGCCAAAGTTATTTGAAGCAGAGGAATTTATACAGCGATAATTCTTTTCAACTTCTTTTTTTTCCCTTTTCATTAAGGACTTCCTTTCGTTCACATTTTTTTCCTGGAGCTTTTAATTGCGAGCTAAATTTTATTTCGTTTCAAATTTTAGATAGTAATATATTAGAAAAATGTCTTTTTTGGTTTTTAAGGTATCCGACTACGTTCGGAACCGTGATTTTGGAAAGGCTCATAAATGGATAATTTTCATGATATTTAGTGTCACTTAGATTAGAATACATGTATAAAATTGCTTTAAAAACATTTTGACAAAAAAAGTTATTTAAATACAATATTTCGGCAAAAAATTAACTTAGAATATCCTTTTATCAAAATGTTCTCCTTTCGCGAAAAATGCTTCTATTATAATATTTTCCCTGTATATAGGTCTAACCTCTGTACAGAGGCTCAACCATGAATTTTGAAAAATGCACATTATTTTCAGAGTTACAAACATTTGAAATAATTATTGGCATGTTTTTCTTAAAATTTCTCCCCTCGGTAGTCGTAAAACACGGATAAACCCACTGTAAGTTATATATTTCAAAAATTCTATTTGAGCCTCTTTACAGTGGTCTGAGCTATATACAGGCAAAATATTATTATGATAGAAGCAGTTTTAACAGAAGGAGAATATTTTGAAAATGCGTCGTTCTATGTTCATTTTTTGTCAAAATATTGTACTTAAATAATTTTTTATTGTACTAATATTCTTAAAACAATTTTATTTACATTTTCTAATCTAAGTGATACTAAATATCATAAATCTTATCCATTTACACGCTTTTACAAATTCACGTTTCCGAACGTAGTCGGATACCTTTAGTACTTTCATACAGTGAAATACGTTTAATGCGAAAACTCTTAGGACGAAATATAAGCCAACACAAAATAATACACCAGTCCCGACAAACTACTATGTATTTTCATGCCTTTTATTTTTACTTTAAAAAAAACGAAAATCTCTTATGAAAAGATTTCCTTTCTGAGAATGAACAAAGTGTGGAAAACACCAGTCCCGCATTGGAAGAACTCGTTGCAATAGATGATGATAATCTGTGTACAGCCCCAATTATGGCAGAAAAAGATATTTTGGAGTTTGTTCGAAGATCAAAAAATATCATTGTTGCAGATTCCGACGATGAAAAAGAAACGAATAATGCAGCTCCTGATACCCCGTCATCCTAAATGAGGAACATCATGAAAAGTATGTGCAATTATTAAGACGCACATTCCAATGGTGAAATGAATAACAAAATAGACGACATCTAATACTTTTCTGAAAACTTGATGCTAAAAAAGGTAACGCAAAGAAAAATTTTGGATTATTTTCCAAAAACTCAATAAATGCTTTCGTTTTAAAAATCTTGAAAATTTTGCATTAAATTTCAACGTGAACGTTTTTATTTCATTGATCTTTATCAAATACATACATATAAAAATCTACGTAAATGAAATGTAGTCTAATAAACTTAGTTTTTTTGAATATATGATTTTTCCCCGCAATATCCTTTGACACGAAAAAATATTTCAGTACCCTCAATTTCACGTTAAACGATTTTCATTGCGAACATAATTGTTAAATAACATTTTACGTTCAGACTACGTTCAGAACCCTGATTTTTCAAAAGCGTATAAATGGATAATATTTATAATATTTAGGGTTACTTAGATTACAAAATGTAAAAAAGTCACTAAGATTACAAAATCGTTTTAAGAACAGCATTACAATAAAAAATTATTTAAGTACAATATTTGGACAAAATATGAGCGTAGTGACCCATTTTCAAAATATTCTCCTTTTGTGAAAAATACCTCTATTATAATAACATTTTGCCTGTATATAGCTCAAACCTCTGTACAGAGGTTCAACTAGAATTTTTGAAATATATAACTTAGAAGTGGGTTTATCCATATTTTACAACAACAGAGGGGAGAAATTTTAAGATGAAAACGCCGATAAAATTATTTCAAATGGTTGTAACTCTGAAAATAATGCGAATTTTTCTTAAGTCACAGTTGAGCCTCTTTACAGAGGTCTCAGCTATATACAGGCAAAATATTATTATAATAGAAGCATTTTTCACAAAAGGAGAACATTTTGAAAGAGTGTTGTTCTTAGTTAATTTTTTGCCAAAATATTGTATTTAAATAAATTTTTTTTTGTCAAAATGACCTTTAAACAATTTTATACATGTATTCTAATCTAAGTGACACTAAATATCATGAAAATTATCCATTTATGCGCCTTCTTAAAATCATGGTTCCGAACGTAGTCGGATACCTAAAATATTTATAATATATTCTGCAATGTTTGATGAATAAAGTAACACACTTTTCAACATTTATGCCTAATGAATTAGAAGATGGATATTGAATTTGTTAATAGTGCATATATATATTCCTTCAAGACAACTTCACACGCATTCCTTTAGAATGGCTTATTCATTCAGGGACACAAACTTAGTTCAGCATCTGCACAGATCCATATTCATTTAGGTTGAAATGTTGATTGCACATTGTGTAGGCCTGAATGATAGTCACCGACCATTCATATTCCAATCACAAGGCAAACACGCTCAATTGACAACAAGTCGAGCGAAACATTTCGGAAAATCAATGGAGCTACGCTTTAGTTGGAAGGTTTCTAAGGGAGGAAATCTCTAGTGGAGTTATATCTTCGAGAAAGATCTCTTATACGCATAAAATAGAATATGTCACCTATACTTCTCACCTATATTGATATATTTGTAGAATCAAAAATACATTAATAATATTCAGATAAATTGTGATATACTCACTATTTCCTTAGTTATTTTATATATTATATGAATTTATTCTATTTTTTTTTCTATTCCTACAATAAGTTTACACCCCCCTCGGAGTTTAAATTTTCAATCGTTATTAAAATACTTTTTATTCATCCACTCAAGTTCAAATACATTTTTTTAAACTTGCAGTGGATGACAATTGATGTTAATACAGCTTTTTCAAATATTAGTTCATTAAATGTATTTAATTAATGAATAAAAAGTAAAAAACAAAAAAACACAGTCAAACACCAGAAATAGAAAGGAAAAGCGCTCGTTGTGTCCCTGTAGCTCAATGGGTAGCACTTTGGATTTCTAATCCAAAGGTCGTGGGTTCGAATCCCACCTGGGATGGTCTAATTTTTGAAAATGTGATTTCTTTTTACTATATATTATTTTATTGGAATAATTAAATTTACTTAATGAATAATTAGTAACAAAAAAATAATAGCCCATCACCTTATATAGAAAGGAAAATACAAAATTACAAGAAAATCAAGGAATTGACTTACCTTTTTTTTAATATTATGTGCTATCTACAAAGTTTGAAATGGCTTAAGAAAATATTGTTTGAGGAATTGGTGTGTATATTAACTTGGCTCTTAGAAGTGACTTTACAGCTATTGGACTCGGACCGAGTTTTTTTATGCACAGTCAAATGACGAGAAAGACATTTGAATTTCCATTCCATTCTTCAAATTTCCACACCATATCAACGTGAGAAATTTGAGCTACGACAGTTTTAACGTTATCACCTCCTCTACACGAAGAGTCATTAAAATATGTCTAGAACTAACATGAATTACCTTTTAAGAAAATAAAATAACAGCGTTCTTGAATTCAGTAAAGATGCATATCGAAATTGAAATTGTACTATTTCTTAAAGAGAAATAGTCTCAGCCCCCGTTGTAGCTACACTTAGATTAAATTTGGAGTTTGACGATGTAGACACTAATTAATATTTAGCTTGATCGAAATGTTAACACAATCTACTCTTTATCTTAAGCTTGAGCTTGCTTTTTTGTCCTGGAACACGTTCTGAGAATTTGTGAAATTATTTAGGAAATTAAAAATGTTTCAGTTTGAAATTTGTCTTTTGTGATTTTGTCTGCATTTGAGTTCCTAAACGTATTCAATATGGGTTGAGACTTCAGGTAGTAAACGCAATTTATGCAAATCCTGCCATTGAAAAGTTATATATATATATATATATATATATATATATTTAATTTTAAAAATATGAAAAATGCACACTAATGTTGTGCGAGTATTAATTGAAATAATTTCATAATTCATCATAAGCTTAATCACTTAAATTTTTTTAAATTCAATGTACGTTGTTCGTCATTGCAGAATGAAAACTTCTATTTTAATACTTGAAGACTAGATTAGTACCTCGCATAATATGGTGTGCTGGTGCCAAAAGAAATAGGTCATGTAGAGCAGGGATTTTTAAACTTTTTGAGGATGGTGACCAATTTTTTTAGAAGAATTTTGTGCGTCCCCGTATGCATTCCGCAAAGTTTACACCCGCTACTTCTATATGTGTTTTATTTGTAGTATACTACTGTTTTATAGAGTAATAAACATCCGTAATTTTTTATTATAATGATGTAGATTCAATTAAGCAACAAAATAAAAAACATTATATAATGTAACTCACGGTAGATTATATATATAGTATAATAGGCTCTTACTTCTGAGATCATCACCTCTTATTAACAACGGCCTATGCAAAGTTTAAGCATCAATGAGAAGGATGTGCTTGATTATTTTATGTTATTAAATCTTGGAATAATAGTCGACACTGCCGGACGAAGTACTTCCTCAATATTCTTTCGATTTGATTTTTACTTTGATTTCATCCCTGTCAAAGGTGAAAATGTCGTCTCTCACAAAAAAGTTGTAGAAAAAGGTGAAGATATATAAAAAACAAAATCTTTGGCAACCCCACGTGGGTGAGTGAATATTAACGTCGCACTGTTCAGCTACACGAGGACTTTTGGCGACAGACCTCGTAATTTTGAACCATGGTCAAGTGACGATGACGACAGCTGAGCTGGCACCCCCTCTCCTAACTATCACACCACACCAACGGGAGAACGTTTGAGCTCTCGACAGATTTAACTTGCACCGCTCCCCTACATGGTGGGTCTTTAGTGGTACTGGGCTCGAACTCGCGTAACAAGGCCAGCCTCAAACCGATACCTTGAGCACAAGGCTATCACGGCCGACCCCACGGGGGTCACGATCTCTAGTTTAAGAAGCACTAGTGTAGAAGGAGTCAAATTTTTTCACTGTAGTGGCGTGGAAGTTTTTAGAGAGGGGTGCCACCTGAACTGTAGGTACATCACTTAAACGTGGTACAAAATTACGAGGCCCGTGGCCAACAGCCTTTACTTTGTTTTTAAGTGCAATGTTAACAATCATCTAGTCAAGCACATGGATCTCTCTGTTAGCTAAGTCCTTCACACTACAACAAGGAAAGTTTCATGGTTCTCTTCAGGGTTCATGAAAAAATCTCGTCAGGTTTATAAATTCCTGACAGGGAAAAACGAATCATTTTAAGTAGAAACTTGTAAGAAATTTTATTTCATTTTATTCTAGAACATATTCAATAAGTTACAAGAAATATGTCATCTGTCATGTCCAAATTCTACTTTTAAGTCATTATGCAAGCTAAATGACAGCAATGTATTTACAGACATGTTAAAATTAATTTTAAAAAATGTAAAATTTTCTGTAATATAAATGCATTTATGTGTTATTATATGAGAGGTGTGTTCAAATGAAAGTGCTTCGAGTTGTGTATCAATGAGATGTGTAGGGACAGAAGTGAGACAGATAGAAACAACAATATTTAATGAGGGAAATGCATACAAACTTTGTTAAAAGAAATCACCCTTGGCGCTTTTAGGCAGGCGTCCCATTGCTTAGAAAGGTTATGGATTCCGTCCGTAAACAACGTCCAAGACTTCCCACTTTTTACATGTCATTGCCTCGACGCACAACTTGGTGACAATTGACCTTGCATTGTCCTGTAAAATGATGACACCTGACGGCAGCATACCTGGGTGTTTGTTTTTGATAGCCTTATGCAGCCTATCAAGTGCTTTTATGTACCGTTGGGCATTCATGGAGACGTCTGGCTCCTTAAACTCCAGTAATAGGGGTCCTTGCATGTCGAAAAATAATTCTCAAAAAATGCCCAATGACCCCGCATTTTGTGATGAATATCCACACCCATCTAGTGTTAAAAGCTTTTTTCTGATAGCTCTCTGATCCGTTTTGGACGCAATTGCATCCACATTAGTTATTTTTAAATGAGTGCCGTGTCCTTACGAATGCTGCTATACTAAGTATCTTGGCGACACGTGTGCATGATACATACAGCGTCATTATCGCGTTTGTTTCACTAAAATTCATTGAAAACTGTTTGCCTTTGATTCTTCAAAACATTTTCATTTGAACACACCTTATAGTTCAGAAAATTCACTCTTACTTGTGTATTATATTTATTAAATATTACTATTTATACTATGCAGAAAAAGCATGTCCTTTTGTATTTCATCTTCTGTTATGTTACATAGTTTTAACGTAAAAACCTATTTCCTTTTATTATTCATTTTACCAGCGAGTAATAAATGTATATTTGTTTGAAGCATATATGCCCCATGTTGCTTCATATGCTAAGTAAATCAAAATCAATCTAAATCCAATGCTTGCATGTGTATGTGTGTCATTTGTATGCATAAGAGAAGGCACCTATGAGATTAGATCGTGAATTTTCCTAGAAATAATTTCCTCCTAGTATTTTCTTTCTTATAGGAAAGAGATCCACGGAACAAAAGTGATTAAGAATTGAAAGAGATAAAAAATAGCATCTCTTGAATATGTTATGAAAGCTATGTATCGTGATAGAATATGTTTGCAGCATTTGCCAGTAGGCAACAATGAATTAATTCCACCCAAGAATGGCTTTTTCAATGGTAAATTAGATTAGCTCAAATCTCTCTTCACTTTCTTCTGATCCGTAATGCTGTATTTTAATTTTTTGTATGTATTAAGATATTTAGTTTTTAGATTGTACTAAGTTAAAAAAATTATTCAATTAAGATCTAATAAAGGAGTGGCAGACATAATTCATTAAAAAATACAAATTATTTGTTATAACCATCTGCTACAGAGGTTTCTTGATCGATAAGATTCCTTTTTTTTATAAAGTAAACTGCATTTAAATTCAAAACTGTTGCAAATTAATTATAAAGTGTGCCTCTTACTAATGTAGTTGATTCCTTTTTACCTTTTATAAGACTATTTTTTTCTAGTAATCTTAAGGCTAAATATATTTTAAACATAGATTAATTTTATATATAAAAAAAAATTCATTTAGCTTACTAATAAAAGTTAATTTGATTTTTAAGGCCATTTTTTTGGGTGGAAAATACGTTTTTCACACCACCTATTGGGAGCTTTTTTAAGTTCTCTTATGTTTTGTATTTCTTTTTGTATTGCTTACATGATATTTATAAAAAAATAATTTGTAAATACTATAATATACAGAAACGGAATTATAAATTAATTGTATTTTTGTATTAAAAAATGTGAGTTTATGTATATTACTTTCCGTGAAATTTCAGAAATCAGGGAGTAATACATAGTAGACAACTGCAAGCTATCAAACGTATCTTGTTCTCATGTGTTTTAGTAGAGCATAAGAGGCAACGACTATGTGTTTATGTCAAGTTGGCAAAGAGTCACCAACTTTAAGGAAACATACCTCATCTGGAACAAATTTCTTGTTGCTCAAAAAATTTACAGGTTGTCTCTTTGCTCCTGTGTCTTGAAAATCCAGATATTAGTTGTCGTGCCAGCCGAAGGGTTAGTAGCACAAATTATAAGAGGGAAAATAGCTTTCCATCGATATTTACAAATGAATTATGTTGGCGGTAAGTATATTTATAGCGACTTCATAACGTTAATATATTATTTTGTCATTTACTACAGGAAACACACACATTAACTATATGTTCTAGAGGGTGGTGCCGATTGCATAGTACAAACTTTAAGGTAGATACAGAATATATATGTATATATATATATATATATATATATATATATATATATATATATATATATATTGTAACAATAATTTATTGTATAGAAATGTAGGGGCGCAAGTGACGCGGTGAGGCTCAAACAGGGAAAATAAAGGTTTGTACGATGAATTCGGGACCATCCTACATGGACAGCGTTAATTATTCAAGCAATACACATTTTCTGAAATATTTTTTTTCAAAACTGTTTTTTTTTTGTCTTGAAATACATGGTTTTCAAACAAAACAGTAATAGAA